ACTTTGGACTTTCAAAACACAGCATGATTATGGCTGCCTGGTACTAAGGTTGTTCCAAGGCTCAGATTATCATATTATTATAATATTACCATTGTAGCCGAAACTGGTTTGGCTCAGTAGTAGAGCATCGGTCTGCGGACTGAAAGGTCCCAGGTGCGATTCCGGTCAAGGGCATGTACCTTGGTTGCGGGCTCATCCCCAGCAGGGGGCGTGCAAGAGGCAACTGGTCGATGTTTCTCTCTCATTGACGTTTCTAGCTCTCTATCTCTCTCCCTTCCTCACTGCAAAAAATCAATAAAAATATATTAAAAATATAAAAAATATTACCATTGTATTATGATAATACTTCTGTATTACCATTATGCCAAATAGGAGTATATCATAGTGCGGGTTCAATCCTAGATCAGGGTACATACAAGAATGGACCAATGAATGCATAAATAAATGGAACAACAAATTGATGTCTCTCTCCCTCTCTCTCTCTCTCTCTCTCTCTCTCTCTCTCTCTCTCTCTCTCTCTCTCTCTCTCTCCCTTCCCTTCCTTTCTCTCAAAATCAATTAAAAAACAAAAGTGTGTCATAGGTTATTTTTATTACTGTATAATTTACATGAAACAAAATGCATCATTTTAAGTGTATAGTTCAATGAGTTTTGACACACATACAATCATGTAAACCACCACTGCTGTTCAGTTACTTTCCACATGTCCCCTTGCAGTCAATCCCCTATCCCCATCCACTGCCTCAGACTACTTTCTGTTGTCATAGACTAGCTCTTCTTTTTCTAGGATGTCATATAAATGTATTCATGCAAGATGTAACCTTTATGTCTGGCTTATTGATCACATATATTATGGTGTATGCTTGAGTCAAACAAAATTCAGCTCATTTAACTGCTTTCCTGCAGTTGTGTACTGAATGAACTCTTAGCTAATGATAGATCATGTCACCATCATGGCCAGGGCTTGTGACATTTCTGCTCTTTGAGTCAGAAAGAAATGCTTCTCATTTTAAAATCTTAGTTATATTTGGCCAGTTATCAGCTGCTAGTGAGTGACAAAGGCTTGCAGATAGGGGAGGTTGTGGACTCTCTTGTTTCTATTTACAAAGTTATTTTAACCTTACATTATGCAACACCTTTGCTGTTGATAAGCTGGTGTGTGTGTAAACTGACCTGAGAGGCCTGATGCATGAAATTTGTGCAAGAGTAGGCCTTCCTTCCCCTGGTTGTGGGCACTGGCTTCTCTTTGGCACCTGGGACCTGGGCTGGGCTTCCCTCTCAGAGAGAGGCCCTGCCCACCTGCTCCAGCCCACTGGTTGGTGGCCTTGCCCTCCCTATGCCAGGTAATCATGGTAACCAAACACACCTCACCTGGCTTGGCTGCCTGGCACCAGTGGTTGTCATAGCATGGTCCCAAATGGTTGTCTAGATTGTCATCCTGATGGTCGTTCTGCTATTCAGCTGTTCGATTGATTTTAATATTATGCTTTTATTATATATGATGATGGTTCAATCAGATGGCATTTATTCAACTGTTCAAACTGTAAAAGAAATCCATGCTCATCATAGAATGTTTGAGAAACAAAAGGAAAAGGACAGTAATTTTCCCCCCATACTTTCTTGTAGAGAAGAATATTAAATTTTGGGGCACATTTATTTTATGCTCTTTTATGTAGATATGGTTAATACTCTATATAAAATTTTGTATCCTGCTTTTTAAATTTAATATTTTATTCATAGCATTTGTCTATGTAATTGAAAAATCTTTGTGAACATAATTTTAAATGATAATTTATAGCCTACCTTTAATATATCATTATTAATTATAATTATATGTATATATAGAGAGATTAATTCAATAAATGAGAATTAAAAAGCACTGGGGCCTTCCTTTTAAAAGGAATCCTGCTCTATCCTAGTATATGTAGTTTATACTTAAAGGAGAGCCCGGCTATACCTATTCCATAGATGGAAACACAAGACCTACTTCATAGATGGAAACGCAAGCTGGCTGCCACATCAGACTTAAGTGATGTAGAGAGTTCTTCCTAACCCTCTCTCTTCACAAGGTAAACTTGGCCATTGGCATTTCCTGTGTGTGGATTTAGTTATGCTTCCAGGAGACTACTGGTGAGTTTCCATCTGTCGGATTTCAAATTGACAGAAGTGATAGGGGTAGGAGACTGGAGCGTTCTTCCTGAGTTATTTTGCTTCCTGATGACAGCTGATGAAAATCAGGAGTCTTTGCTTTCTCTTCATTCAGTTAGACTAAAGGAGAGAGGACCCCGAGAGATGTGTCAACTACAATGGTTACTGGGCTGAGTGTCTGTGTCTGTATCAATGCCAACTGGGTTTAATAGAACTCAAAAGATGCCTGAGGACAAGCTGATTTGTAGTAAGATCTAAAACCCATCCATGAGATAAACCCCTGGAAAAAGAACTGAAGGACTTCAATAGTTCCTAACCTGTACACAGAGTAGTAAATATTATTACCCAGTGATTCTGATCCTGGAGGACATGACAAATGTTTAACGTTTCTGTTCAGTTCTGCCTCATAAATATTGATGAGCACTAATCTAGGCTCTGTGGGAAGGGTACGAAATGTGACTCTGCAGTAATGTGACTGATTAAAAAAAAACACATGAATTCCTGAGTTCATATAGTCAATCTTGTGCTGCTCTTCTTTGAAAGGTTAAATATTTTTCCAGGATGTCTTCACTTCTCCAAAACTTTCTAACTCTTCTCTTTAGAGTTTGCCTTCAGCCTGTAGCATATTTTAAAAAATATATGTATATAATATGAATATATATATGTGTGTGTGTGTATAATACATAGTATAGATTTACAATTTATTTTATTTTTAATCCTCACCTGAGGTTATTTTTTCCATTGATTTTTAGAGAAAGTGAAGATAGAGGGAAAGACAGAGAGAAATATCGATGTGAGAGAAACACATTGATTGGTTGCCTCCTGTACCCACCCCTTCACATGCCCCAACCAGGGCCTGGGCCAGGGAGGAGCCTGCAACCCAGGTAGAAACCCTTTTTAAAATATATTTTATTCATTTTTTTCCAGAGAGGAAGGGAAAGGGATAAAGAGGTAGAAAGATCAATGAGAGAGAAACATCAATCAGTGCCTCCCGCACACCTCCTACTGGGGATGTGCTGGCAACCCAAGGTACATGCCCTAGACCAGAATCGAACCTGGGAACTTTCAGTCTGCAGGCCAACACTCTATCCACTGAGCCAAACAAACCATTTAGGGAGCCCTTGAATAGAATGGAACCTGGGACCCAGTTAGGGAGCCCTTGAATAGAATGGAACCTGGGACCCTTCAGTCTGCAAGCCAACATTCTATCCGCTGAGCCAAAGCAAATAGGGCTAGGTTTACTTTTTAGAATTAGCTAAAAGTTATTTGACTAAGTCCTGTGAATGTGGTAGGGGTTCAACATGAATACTATTCTGTTCATCTAAAATGATGTGCAACTGGGGAATACTGACTTCTCATTTCAGTGAAAGAGTTCCACTGACATTGGGTGAAATGTAGTATTATTGCAATAAATCTGGCACTTCTCAAAATGACCCTGAAGGAAAATACTCATTTAGATATGAGAGCTTTGGTATGTTTATAAAAACTTCTAAGTTCTTAGATAAAGAGCAATGCCTGAAAAAAGGCTGCTAAACTTTAGGATATTTCTTCCTGGCTAGGAAGGTGATGGGGAAAAAATGTGATAGAGAGCAGAAGAAGAGATAGATAGATAAACAGATAGATAGAGATAGTGCTCTGCTATCTCCTCTAGGGATACTAATCCTATTGGATTAGGACTCCACCCTTATGACCCGTTTAACCTTAATTATTTCTTTATTCCAACTATAGCCACAGTGAGGGTTAGGACTTCAACATAGGAAGTTTGAGGAGACAGTTCGTTCCATAGTGCCCTTGGAACTACATTGTGTGGTAATAATTTACTCACATCTGACTCCAGTGGACTGTGGTCTTCTTAAGTGCTAAGCACTGTGCCGCACATTGAGAATCACAGAGATTGATCTTGTCCCCAGGGAGCTTGTCATTTAGTCCTATCAGTTTCAGAGGCTCTAGGGGAGAATCTGTTGCTTTGCCTTTCCCAATTTCTAGAGGCTGCCCGCATTCCTTGGCTTGTGACCTCCATTTCTCCATCTCCAAAGCCAGCAAGTTGTACCATGTGACCACTCGTCTTTAGTCACATCTCCCTCTGGCATGACTGGGAAAGGCATAACGCATGAGACGCGCCAAGGCCCATGAATGAAATCCTGACAACTCTGGGTATTTGAAAAGAGGAATTTTCTAAGGAGACTAAGAAAAACATGTCCATTTATCTTTGTGTCTCCCATCATCAGACACAGGATCCAAAGGCCCGTCTCGATTTGCTTAATTTAACTGAGTGGGTGTAGATAGACCCGATAGAAGGGGGTGGATTGGGAGGAGGAATGGTGGTGTGAGGAGTGGCCAGGGACAGCATGAGCTTGGTAGATTGGAGAGGGAGAGAGGTGAGAATAATTAGGTGGAGTCAGACTTCGCAGGCCCTGAAACGGTTGTCAGATAGGAGAATTTAGATCCCAACAGGCCACCTCCCCGGTAAGATTCGGGTTCTGGAGCAGAGCGTGAGAACACGAGCTACCCTTTGGGGAATTGTCCTCTGGAGGCGGGGCACTGATGACTGGTGGTGGTGGTGGTGGTGGTGATGGTGGCAGTCCTGAGTCGTTAGCGGTGGCCGAGCTTTCCCGGGGGCGGGGCTTTGGCTGTGTAGTTGCTGGAAGGGAGCCGTGTCGCCGGCTGCTGCTGATTGGGTGCTGACCCAGGGGCGGAGGCATCTGGCCGCAGCTGGGAGGCAGCGGTGCGCGCTGTCTGGGAACCTGGGGCGGGGCTGCCGCCGGGCGGGGCGGGCTGGGAGCCAGGCCCCGCCCCGCCCTCCCGCGCAGGCGCGCTGCGGGCTGTTAGCTGTCAGGAGCCCAGCGGCGGGCCAGCAGGCGGGCGGGCGGGCGGGCAGGGCGGCGGGATCCGACGTGGGCGCTGGACCGGGCTGCCTGAGCCCCATTGACTGAACCCCGCCCGCGCGGCCCGGCTCCTGGCCAGCAGAGACCCCGCGGGCAGCCGGCAGCGGCGCAGGCAGCATGGGGAACCGGGAGATGGAGGAGCTGATCCCGCTGGTGAACCGCCTGCAGGACGCCTTCTCGGCGCTGGGGCAGAGCTGCCTGCTGGAGCTGCCGCAGATCGCCGTGGTGGGCGGCCAGAGCGCCGGCAAGAGCTCGGTGCTGGAGAACTTCGTGGGCAGGTGAGCGCAGGGTGCAGAGGTGGCTACCTGCTCTGGCCCTGGGAGCCCGAGGCGGGGGAGGAGGAGGGGCTTTGATGGGAATGGAGGGGGACAGTGGTACCCGGGCACGGGCGGGGTGTCCGGCTGGGGGGAACCCCTCGCTCCCCCGCCCCTCCACGCCTGGTGGCCCTCCTGTCTGCCTTTCATCCTGCAATACAAAGCCATTTCCTCCGCATCCGCCGCCTCGGGTGGGGGTAGGGGGTCCGCCCCAGGATGGACTTCCCCTGGCAGCGCACGCCTGGAAGCCAGTTTCCCTGCCCCCCGGTTCCCGGCTCCACATCTCCCACCAGCCTCCCGGAGGGGCTCGCAGGGCTGTGGGATCCATCCCTCTCCTCTCCTCCCCTCCCCTCCCCGCCTCCGCGTGGAGATGCCCCGCTGCCCGCCCTGCTTCCCCGCCGCTTCTCTCAGCTGTGTCTGCTGTTCGAGACAGTCGTCGCCTGGCGAGGGGAGGCGGGGTGCGAGGAGAAAGACCTCGTTTGTTGTGGTGCAGCTTTACCCAGCGACACTTCCCCACCATTCTCCTCCCAGGGAGGCGAGAATAAAAGGTGGTGTGTTTGCCCGAGCACCTAATTCACAGCTCCAGGCCTGTGCCAGAGGGACCGAGGCGCAGGCTCTGAGCCGGAGGGGCGGGGTGTGGGGAGGGGGGGAGAGTGGACCTGGGATGTCCAGGTGCCTTGTCATTCCTACATCATCTCGGAACTGACCAGCATCTTTCTCGCCCTCTCTCTGCGCCCCCTCCCCCAGCATCCTTTCCTTTCCCCAAGCTGAGATTGGGCCTGCTAATCTTCAAGATAACAGGCTGCATCTGAATGATAGCTAGGAGGGTTTTTTTTTTGTTTGTTTTTTGTTTTGTTTTTTCGTGACTCTTCCTACAGAAAAAGCGAAGGGATTTATTTTCAATTGGAAATCAGCTTGTCTTCCACCGAGCAATTCAGGCGGGATTCAGTTACTTGAAGGGGCCTTGCCCAAGGAGTGCAGACATTCTCCGAGAAAAAAAAAAAGCCCATTTAAAAAGCATCAGGAAAGCTGGCATTTATTTCCAGGTGGAAACAGCCGACAGAGTGGGCCGGAGGGGGAAGTTTCCAGAAATTGTACTTTTACGCTTCTTATTTGTCAGGCTAGTGATTTGGGATTCAGAAGGGTCCTCCTGTTCCTGTTCCTTTTTGCTGTTGTTAGTGTTTGTGTAAGATTTAGATAGTCCCGCACCTCCTTTGGGACTATCAGTATCCATAACGTGCATTTCCTATTCCCTCAGATGATGCTCTCTCTCTCAGGTGGTACTCTATTTTGCAACCCCCAACCCCCGAACTAGAAAGCCAAGAAGCCTAATAAAAAAGGAAAATTGCCAACAATTGGCTGGTATTTTTTACTAAGTCACTTAATCACTTTGCCTTGGCTTTATCATTTATTTTGAATGATGGTAAAGCATTTTGCCTACGTCATCATAGTCAAGACAAAGTGTTGGAGGAATATGTATTTCACACATACACGTAACAGTCACATACTTAAGGGTCTTTACTTTCTTTGATTTATTGCTAATGAAATTCACTAAATTAGGAAGTGTTACCCTCAGGGAAAGTGAGGTTTGATGACAATGCATTTTGGGTTTTACATACTCCAGAGCATTTGACATAATGTCTTAGTGGTAATTTTAACTACTTTTGGTTTTTAGACAGATACTTAAAGATTAAAATTGTAAGTAATTCAAATGCAATCACCATATTTTTATGCATCTTTCATACCTTTGCTTGGATGAACCACAATTATAATTAAACAATTCTAAATACATTGTTTGTGGCAAGAACTTTTAAATCTAATGTCAGTTTTATGTACACATTCATTCTGTTCTTTAGGTTTTCAAATCCTAACCTACTTCTTAATGCCATAATAAAATTATACAGATTTCCCCTCACTAGTTACATTCTTTTGAGATGAGAATTTTAAAAAAGAGGTATGGAAGAGTAAAATACTTTAGTTTGAACATTTTCATGATAGAATGAAAAATGGGGACATAAATATTATGCAAATCAGAGCATTTATTGAAATACATTACTAATTTGTTAGACTTTTAAACTTTTACCAATAATTAATTACTGTTAGAATGTCAAATGAAAGAAAAGGATAGACATAGAGGGAAAAGGTCATTTAATGCATATATAAAGGTTTTTAAAATATATATATTTTATTGATTTTTTACAGAGAGGAAGAGAGAGGGATAGAGAGTTAGAGACATTTATGAGAGAGAGTCATCGATCAGCTGCCTCTTGCATCACCCCTACTGGGGATGTGCCCGCAACCAGGTTACATGCCCTTGACTGGAATTGAACCCGCGACCTTTCAGTCCGCAGACCGACGCTCTACCACTGAGCCAAACCGGTCTCAGCTATAAAAGGTTTTTTGTTTTTTTATTATTTATTTTTTAAGAGTTTTTTTATCTGTAGAAATGATACCTGCCTAGCAGAGCCTATATAACAGGAGAACATTTAATTAAAAAGGTCATTTGGTTTTAGGAAAGGTTTTACTCATTGAATTATTGAAGAATCTAATTTCTAATTATAAACTAACTTTAGGGGAAAAGGAGTTCTCTCTTTTAAGAAATTCATCATAGGCAGAAAAAAACTAGTCCTATTCTACTATAACCTTTTATCTTTCTATTATCCAGAAATTATGTACTAGAGATAAGGCCCTTTCCTTTGAGGATGGAGCTTTCCTCTTTCGCTTGTTTTTAAGACTGACCTTTGTGCAGTTTTCATTTTAAGACTGACTATGTGCAGTTATTGAATGTAATCATAAAACAAGGGGCCATTGTTTGTGAAAGTCAATAGTGTTTGTATATCATTTATGCTTTTCAAATAATGGTGCATTTTCTCCTCAGTATTTGACAATCCATGCTTAGTGGGCTAATCCTTCTTCTCCTCCTGGATTGTTTCTTTCTGTTGATCCTTTTTGACACCATTGAATGAATTTGGATGTGAATGTGTTTATTTAACTGTAGCTGTAAAATTTAATTTTGGGGTGACAAGTTTGAGATTGTCATGACTAAAATGAGGCATGAATGAACTACTTGTTTGTGATTTTTCTTGCTGAAGTGATGCATTTACATATTAATGTGATATAGTATGAGTAACCAGATTGTCCTTTTGGTTGTTCAGATGAGATATATGCTGGCAGTGAGAGGCAGCTTTTGAATAGGAGTTGAGACTCGATCTGAATATGGAGATTCACTTACTGGCTTGGGGTCTGCCCATTGGTCTGCTTTGTGTACAGAAGAATGGAACTTATCCAACTATCTTTACATCCAGTTTTTCCTTTTTGCAGCACTCTGGGATGATGATGATGATGATGCTTGACATTTATTGTTTGCTATGTAAGCATTTTGTGCTAGTCTAGGTACTTTTACAAGGATAATCTTATTTAATCCCCATAAAACCCCAAAGCGAAAGGTACTCTTCTGAGTCCTGTTTTACAGAAGAGGAGGTTGGGATTTGGAGAGTTTGAGTAACTTGGTAAAGGCTAATTTAGCATAAAAATAGTAGTGCTAGAATTCAACCTGAGGTGTCTGGACTCTGTACATATTTTCTGCAATCTGAGTGCCACTTTGCCCCACCATATTGAGACTCTCCAATTATCTGATAAATGCTTTTAACTTATTTTTTGATCACTACCTAAATAAAAAGCACCACCTAAATAAATAAAAAGCTGCTACATTAATACTTTTTATTTTTATTTTATTTTATTATTTTTATTAAGGTATTATATGTGAATATTAATACTTTTTATTTACATTTACTTATGTATGTCTACCATGATTCATTTCACAGAGGATTTGAAGCAGCCCTTTAGGCAAAAGCAATGTTAGAACATACATTTCTTTACTATGTTAGACATCCTTCAAGGGAGCTCTAGAATGTAATTGGGTTGTATATTTAACTGTGTGTTTAGAGTGCATATAACTTGTTTATAGAGATGTTAAGTGAAAACTGTACTAGTTGCTAATGTGCTAATGTTTTTTAATGATATGCCTGTTAGAACATTAGTTCTTCAATGCTAATTATCTAGACAGAGGAGTCTACGTTATTTTACTCTAGCTGGACTGGTAAATAGACTTTCAATTTTGCACAAAAAGAATAGGTTTTGTGATTTCTGGAGATCAAATAAAAGATTTTTTAAAATTACTATGTTGAGGGGAGATCATTTCAATGTGGAAATTTCAAATAATGTATATATTTTAATTGTGAGGTTTCTAAAGATGGATTTGTTGATTATCAAATTAAGTTGTTTTGTGAGAGAACTTTAAAAGTGAGCCATTTGATGCTGTTATTGAATGGACATGACCAGATAATTTTTTTAAAATCCAAAAGTCAGTTATATAACTTATATAGACACTAATCTATTCTTAAATCCTTTGATTTCAAGAGAGTATTTAAAAATTGAAGAGGTGAGAGTTCTCTAATTGCAAATGAGATTAGGTACAAAGCATCAATATCAGTAAAACTTCTTAATTCAGAAATAGGTGTGTATTGAGGGAAAAGATTTTTTTTTTAAATATCAAAGCATTTGAATCAGTGAATATTTCTCAACAAATGGCTTCCAAGTATTAAAGTTATTAGATAAATGGGTGATGTCAATTAAAATGTGATAATTGTTGAAAATCATACTTCATGGTTCCCAAGAGTCTATTTAAATAAAGTATCAGAAACATGAACTTTAAAATCCAACAATAAATTGCTAAAACCTAAAATTACGAAGATATTTTTTGTTGAATTCACATCACATAACATACTTCTAGGCTATCACAAATTTGTAGTTGGATTTAATTACCACAGTCAACTTAACTTTTAAAATTAACATCCAAGAAGCAATACAATTAAATGAACTGTCTTGGATAGGATATCTTTGTTTTAGAATTTACTTATGATAAGCAACTTGATTAACTTCTTTAAGAATGAAGTTGGGCAGGC